GGCATTCATTCTTTCGGGAAGGCATCTGCAGCTTGTTGGCTTGGCCAGTGACTCAGTGACACCTCAGTCAGCCCTGGCACTCCACCTGTTGGGAGCTGGGAACGGCCAGGGCGCTGCGGACCAGTGGGACACTATGCGAGAGCAGCAGGGGAGCCCAGTCCCCGTGCGCGCAGTGAGCCTGTGGTACCTCCAGAGCCTGGGGCGCAGCCGCGGGGCTTCACAGCACCTCGAGGTGCTGCACTCTTGGAGCTCCCTTTGTGGCTTTCACTGTGAGCTCCTGGAGGACCCAGAAGTTTGGTCTTTTCGTCTTTAATGATATAATAGCAGACAGTTACCTAGTTAGTACCTACCGTGTGCCTGGTACCAATTTGAAGCAGCTGATGTGTTTTAGACCAGTTGCTTCTGACAGCGACCCTACGAGGAAGATTCTTTTATTATCCCCAGGTTAAATATAGGGAGACTGAAGCACAGGAGTGTTGAGTCACATTTGCATGGTTTCACAGCTGGTAAGTAGGAGAGCTGAGGTGCACAGCCAGGCAGCCTGACGGCAGGCTGGCTGCCAACACCGTACCGTGGGACCGTGGCACCTCTGGGGAGCCCTGCAGACAGGAGACGGGAGGTGTTCACCGAGCATTTGCTGAGGAACAAGGGGAAGGAGACTCAGAAAAGGAATGGAGAGTGCATCCCGTGCTGAGTTCACCATTTCCCGAACCTGAAGGCCAGCACTTGCCACCCAGTCCTCAGGTGGCCCCAGACACACCTTAAAAGGGTTGTCGACATCCATTGTGTGTCTGTGATGTTTGAACGTCTTATAAGCATGACATTTCTTTGTAATTAGAAAAAGGTGAGAACAAATTTGTTTCATGTGAAGGAGTTTCCATGGCAGATAAAATTGGGAAAGGCATTCCAATAAGTGGCAAGAGGGTGCAGAAAGTTTGATCTTGGGAAAGGTAAATAGTATACCATTTCCAAAACTGACAGACTTTCAGCGGAAAAAGGACTTCACGGTTAAATACTTGGGAGAAATGCCGAGTTAAACAAAATTAGACAGCTCTCTGCTACACGATTTCTCAGAGCCTTTAACGTGCTAGAGTATCTTAAATCTACAAGGAGAGGAGAGAAGATGCTACATTTCTCAAGTTGTCTGGAAAATCTGCAGCAAGGCACTGAGAGTCAGGAGACCTGGGTCCTAGTCTTGTCTCTAAGGCCACCATCTGCGTACCCTGTCAGGCACCTAAACTCTGGGCTTTAGTGTCTGAATAGAAGAGATCACAGCAGCAGGGCTAACATCTATTGAGCACCGATTGCATTCCAGCCTCTGAACTAAGGACTTTGACGCTCATTGTCCTCTTGAGGTAGGTACTAATACCATCCCCATTCTACAGGTGAAAAACCAGAGGCTTCCAGACATTAAATGTCAACTGAAGACATGGAGGAAAGGGGCAGGGATAGACTTTGGGGACCTTGCAGAGCCCAAATCCTGTGACTTGTGCCCCCTCCTAGCTCCCCCTGGACTGGCAAGCCCCATGGGTGGGGTCAGGAACTCCTAGCAGGGCCCAGCTGCAGAGCGGAAGGTCACACCAGATGGTGGGCCTGCCAGCTATCTCAGGAGAGGCTTGGGCAGGAAGGAGACTTAAAGCCGGACAGCTGCTCTGGGAGGGGCACTGCCCAGTAGGAACAGGCACAAGAGCCGGGTCTGGAGCCTGCTGGATGGCAGGAGGGAGGGGATCTGGTTGGCAGGAGGCATGGGGATAAGGGGGCGTCTGAGCAGCAGCTACTTGCCTACTAGTTCGGAATTATTTCAGCCTTTCAGTAGCATTCTGTCTACTAGAGGGTTTGCCTAAATATTAGCCCTGGTTTTAGGCGCCTTCCCTGCCAGTTATTCCCTTCTGCCCTTGAATCAGAAGCTTTGATCCCCATTAAATGTTGGTTCTTCAGACAGCTTGCTCCTTCAGCGGCTACTGGCCTGTGAGAGTGGTCAGAGTTGGGGCGAATGGGGATCTGAGAGCCTGTGTCGCTCCAGAAGATAGAGTCTGAGAGAGGGAGGCCTTTTGAACCTCCAGGAAATGTGCACTGAGCACCTACCTCGTGCCAGGCCCCGTGATGGATGCGGTATACAACAGTGAGTACAGTAGTCAGGTAAAGGTCCCATAAGCAAAATAAATCATGATAGAGCAAAGGTGTCAGAAGCCTGCGGAGGCAGCTCCCCGCCACCCCGCCCCGAGCAGTTTTGCCTCCTCACATGACCTAGAAACCACTGGGAAGGCAAGCCTGGCCTCTGACAGGGATCCTGTGTGCCCAGGGTGGGTGCCCATCTTGCCAACCTTCTCAGCAGGTGTTTCTGCTTCTGCTCCTGACTCCCAGCCCTGTGGGTGGCTTCTCTGGGTGACGCTCCCAGGGTGGGGGGCTAGGGTTTCCTGGAGCAGGGTGTGGAGTCAGGGATGGAACAGAGGAGCCATTGAGCTGCCCACAGAGGTGCCACCTGGGTGCCCACAGGCATCGTGGGCTGGCCCTCAGGAGGCCCATGCTGGGCCTGGGAGGGGTCACAGCTCAAGTCCAGCCCAGGACTCCAGTGGGAAGGACTGTTGGGGGGGAGCTCTGTAGAGTTGGGGGGACTGGAACTTAGGCCAGGCACTTCTCACTGAGCAGCTCCGGGACTCAGTGCCCCGCCAGCTCCCCGCTGGATTCATGATGCCTTTCTCTTCTGAATAAACAAGGAAAAGTGCTTCCTTTGTCCATTCTTCCTGTTTTATGTGAACTAACTTAACAAATATCTACTGAGCACTTTTAGGCACTGGGCATTTCGCAGTAAACATGGTTCCTACCCTCAGGAAGCTCACGGTCTATAGGAAGAAAGATGATAAAACAAGTATTTACTAGACAGTGTAATAACAGCCTAGCACAGAGGCACCTAACCATACCTGGGGGGAGAATGGAAAGGCTTTCTGAAGAAAGAAAATCATCTAATGCAGGCAGAGGGAAAGCTTTTTTGGTAAGAAACAAAGCCCAGAACTTTCAGGTAACAGAATGATCCAAGGTGTGTAGGGAGAAACCGAAGAGGAAAGTAGAATCTTTAAATCCCTTTAACTTTGGACTTTTTCTTGTGGGCATTACACTGTTTTTAAGGATGGCATGTCCAGTGACTCAGTTACTGTTAAGTAGCTGCCATGTAGGAGCGTGAGGCTGGGTGCCCGCTGCCAACTCCAGAGCCCCCTTGGTCAGGTGGGTGCGGCTGTGGGTGCTAGTAGGCCTGGGAGGAAGCAGCTTGGGGTGGGAGGGGATTTCTTTTCTCTGCTTCTTGGAGGAAAGAGGACTAGGGGTGGAGAGCGCCAAGGGGAGATAGGCAGTGATCTAGTAGCAACATTTTTCTAGTACCTGCTGTGAGCCAGGTGCTTCTTAGAGCTTGAGAGACAGAAACAACAAAGAACTGTAGGCTAGTGGATGAGCTGATGGTGGGGATGGTATGACCTGAGATGGTGGTCTTCTCAGAAGCAGGTAGAGATTTGAGGGAGGTGAAGGAACTGGGGGGCTTGGGTGGAACAAGGTGGAACATGGTAGGGGCTGAAGAACTGAAGGGGGAGATGGTAGGAGTCGTTGGGATGTGTTCAGAGACCCCTAGAGGGGCTCATGGTGGGGGGGGGCCCAAGGAACATGCATGAGTGGTCTCTGTCTGGGGGGCAATTTCCTTTCTCCATCTCTGCTTTGCTAGGGGTCACAGATCCACTGACCCTGGGCAGGCAGTCACCCCACAGCCTCCCTGCTCAACTGGCTCCCGCAGTCCTGATCTGGCCCAGACCCAAAGCCTACACCAAGAATGGAGGAGAGGCAGGAGTGGCCCCTCCTCGTGCCGCGGGCCCCAGAGCCACTTCTTGTCAATGCCTGTCAACTCAGTGTGCAGTGCTTCCCCTCAGGTGCTGGCAGCCCTGGGTGGGCTGGGCTCCGTCTCCACCTCGGCCTCCCCCCTTCAAGGAGCCTGTGCCCAGCTTGGAGAAAGGCTCTATTGTCCTCAGCTGCACCCCGCCCTGAGCACCTTGAGCTCTTCCTCAGGGTGTGTGGCTTACAGTTCGCTCTGCCTTGACTGGAGCAGGGACAGAGGGTTGGTCATGAACCACCTGGGAGGAGAAAGGGGCAGTGTGGGATGTGGAGGGTCAAGGCTTTGCCTTTCCTGTTCCTGGCCCCCAGGAACCAGGGGATTTCAGCAGAGCGCAAACCCTGGCTTTCCTCAGGGCTGTCCTTGGGTGGTCTCTCTCCCGGGATGGCCAACATGCCTACTGGTGGCTGGTTGACAGCATAATTTTGCACAAAAGGCACAGTTTCCAATTGGGTTCCTCCACTTAGGCAGGATGGTCTTGGGCATATTGTTCCCTACCTGCCCTGAGCCTCCATTTCCTTAAAATGATTATAATAATACGCACATGACATGGTGATGAATGTTCTGAGGATAGACCAGCAGAATTGTGCCATAAAATGAGTATTTGGCTTTTCTTTTCTTGATGGTCAGCAAATTTTTCTTTGTTCAGCATCTGGGATTGAATTTGTAGGCATGGACCAAGTTAATCTCTGAGTTGCCTGCTATTCCCTACTTGTTCTTTGAACTCCAACCCCTTTGTAACCAGCTCTCTGAATTAATTCCCTCTGTTGAACCATCTGGTGTTGAACACCTCTATCACCCTGCCTGGACCTAGACTGAGGCAGGCCTTAATGAAGCCTCCCTAGAGCTTCATCCTGGCCATTTAACCTAAGGGATGGCCCAGAGGCACAAAATTAACAGAAAAGATAGATCTGCCACTCTGCTGGCAGTCTAGTAGGGGAACTCGGCAGAGAAAGAGCCAGAGCCTGTGTCCGTTCAAGCTCAGAGCCTGCCCTCGGATACCTCGGGCTCTGGGTCTAAGACATTCTGTTCGGGACTCACTCCCACGGACAGAGCATCTGGGGAGAAGCAGAGCCATCTCTCAGATGTCTGAAGCCTGCTCTCCTCACTGTCTTCCCACAGTTGGCAATCCTTGAAGACTACGCGGACCCGTTTGATGTCCAGGAGACTGGTGAAGGCCCAGCAGGAGCTTTGGGAGCCCCAGAGAAGGTCCTTGAAAATGACGGCTACATGGAGCCCTATGAGGCCCAAAAGATGATGGCTGGTGCGTGATGGAGTCAGGGGTAGGGGATTGCTCTCTGAAGCCTTGGTATTTGCACAACAGGCTCTGGGACCCACAAGACTAAGGACTGATTCCATGATCCCTTCACTGGGTCCTTGGAGACCATGGGTCCACCATGGACCACCTTGGGTCCTTGGCCACTGCCTTCACGAGAGACATTTTGGAGAAGGAGCAATGACTTGTGGTACCTGATATGTGAGGCGGTAGAGAAGGCCACACAACCAAAGGTCAGGCAGATAGAGTTAGGATCGTCAGGAGGGCAGGATAGTGGTGTGGGCCGGGGGTCATGGAACCCAAAAAGAGAATCACTAGCTTTAGGGAAGGTGGTGAGCTTGAGATGATGTGACGTCAGAGTGAAACATCTTTATGGCAATTGGAACCACATGGCTAGAGAAGAGCAAGCCTGTCAAGGAGTGGGGGCAGAGAGCAATGAATAAGACCTGGTCCTGGGGAGCAGAGCAGAGGTCGAGAGAGGATCCAGGGAAGGAGAACGAATGGGGGTGATCCGAGAGGAGGACAGGGGTGAGTCCGTCCAAGCCAAGGCCCCAAGGCAGGATGGAAGGAAGGTTTGCTCAGGGGCAGACAGTTTTAGTGTTGGGCATACCAAGGAGCCCAAATGAGAGAGGCCACGAGGGGCAGTGAAGGGCCTTGAAGGCTGGAATGAGGCATTTGGACTTGCTCTCGAAGAGGAGGAAAACCAATATAGATTCTTGAGCAAGACAGAAACAGGACAAATATGGCATTTTAAGGGGATTACTGAGGCTTCGGTGTACAGAACAGACCAGAAGAACTGGGCATCAGAAAGATGAGTTAGCAGTTGTGGAAATTACTGAGGCTCTAAGGGAGCAATAATTAGCACCGCTTTCTTCCCCTCCTGAGCGTGGAGATCATTGAGAAGTAAGAATAAGGAAACAGACAGATGAAGATAAGATTATGTCAGCTTTATTACTGACAAAGTAGACTGGAGAACATTACTTAGCTATGTCTCCACAATGGGCTGCTTAATACTTCACAGAATTAAACTTGCCCCCTCAGGCTTGGGCCATGCAGCACAGCTATAAGCCCCTTCACGGGGGGCAGGGGGAGAAAGAGCCAGAAGGCAGAGCTGAGAAAGAGAGCGAGCATCCACTGGTGATCAGATAAGCTGCTCTCCCTCCTTGGGAGAGGGGTGAGGGGGCAGAGAGCGGTCAGGAGTGTTCTTCCATGGGGCTCATGGAAACGTGAGCCAGTAGAGTGGAGGAATCTAGATGTGGAGAGACGAGGCTAAGAGTCATCAGGTACTGGTGGTGAATAGATGGGATTTGGAGAATGAAGGAGGGCCAGGACCGAGGAGAGCGGTGTAGTGGACAGAAAGGGAGAAGGTGGGAGGGTGACTACCGAATTTAGACCAGAGGGGTGTGTCCCCCTCGGAGGTCCATAAATGACCTGGAGTTGTATGTGAAAATTGGCACATTTTTCTGGGGAGTAGCTCCATAGCTTTTATTAGATTTTCACTGGGGTCAACGATCCCAAAAAGAATCACAGAACAGACTAGAAGAACTTCTGGGGAAAGTGGCAAGTTTGAAACGTTCAAGTGAGAGATCTTGATGGCAACTGGAAGTGTATAGGGTGCCATGAGACTGGGCAAGGAGTGAGGGCGAATCAGACCTGGTTCTGGGGAACAGAGACCGAGAGAGGGGCCAGGGAAAGAGTCCAAACAGGGGTACTCAGAGAGGACGACCACGAACATGACTTGTCAGAGGGGACAGTTTCACGGAGGGAGTGATCAGCAGTATCTGAGCAACAAAGAAGGATTTTCTGATTGTCAAGTGATATTACTTGGGATGCAAGGAAAAAAATTGGAGCTGAGTAGCCAAGAGGGGGTGGATTAGGAGAGGACCCTGCCTCAGTTTCCAAAATGCGTAAGCCTCATTTCCCAAGTCCTTGCTGGCCATCTAAAGATCTTTTTTCTGTCTTTCACGCTGGTGCTTCTCTGCCCCTGCCTTCATTGGATCCCATTGCTTTTTGGAACGCCAGAGGTGTTTTGAGGGCAAGGGACCCCGGATGTGTGGCCACTGGGCCCCCAAAGCCAGTGGCATCTCCTCTGAAGGAGGCTTGGTGTGTTGTTGCTGAGGGTGCTGCCGGAGGAACTGAGCTGGGCAGCCAGGGCTGCTCTCACACCTCCCCTCCTGCCTTGCCCTGGCAGAGATCCGGAGTTCCAAGGAGACAGCAGCTCAGCCCCTGCCTCTGTATGACACACCCTATGAACCAGAGGAGGAGGGGGCCACCCCAGAGGGTGAGGGGGCCCCCTGGCCCCGGGAGTCCCGGCTGCCAGAGGATGACGAGAGGCCCCCTGAGGAGTATGACCAGCCCTGGGAGTGGAAGAAGGAGCGGATTTCCAAAGCCTTTGCAGGTAAGCCCTGGGTGGAGAGGGTGGGTCTGCTGGGGCCTCTAAACAGCTCTCCAGGCCCAGGGGAGTGGAAGGAGTGGACCCCAGGGGCTGGGAGAGTCCCTGAAGCTGGGCTCAAGGGAAGCATAGTTGAGTGCATCCCAGAGATTGGTGAATTGGGCAGTGTGGGTGCAGGGTCAGGGAACGGGCACGGGAGGAAGGGTCTCCCCTGCATCACCACCTCGCAGAGGCCAAAAGGCTTAGGCCACTTCCATCTTTTGGGAGACGGGGCATATTTTAAAATAAAGAAATTCCCAAACAAAATGATAAAACTTGCGACGTGTTAAATACTTACACTTAACAAAGGAAGGTATTTAACCCCCCAGACAATGAAAACGGCTGTGTGTAACCTTTAGAGATCCCAGCCCTGAATCAGAGAGCTGTGTCCCCCCCTTGCAGGCTGTGCCAGACCAGGGGCACCTGTGCCCCAGGGGGATTTCTGACAAGCAGGAACTGGTGGGGGAGAGTGAAGTTGTGAGAAATCTCCTTTGTTGAATGAGGGTTAGGTTTCTCCTGTCCCAGGCACCCCAGCGCCTGTCCCAGACCTGGAGTCCAGCCTGGAGAGGTGTGTGTTGGTGGTCTGAGTGGGCGCTGCTCCAGGCTGGAGAGCCTGGAGATTGCTTAGGCCCTGGATTCTTGATTCAGTGGAACACAAAGGGTGGAAATGCCATTCAACTTCACCCGGACTCCCATGGCCCCCTCACCCCTCCTGGAGCTGGACTCAGCTCTCTGCCCTGTCCTCCCCACCCTGGCAGCCAGACTGGGAAACCACAGGTTTCTAATTTGTTTTCTGTAAAGCATGCACCATTGAGGATGGACCGTTTATCTCCAGAAGTCTCCTTGGAGAATCAATACTGTTTGGATTGCTTAATGGGAAAATCTATGCTCGTCATTAGGAAACCTCGTTAGCAGTCCTGCAGCCGCCAGCGGCATCCCTGTCTTAATTGTCAAGGCTCAGGATTGAGGGTGTGGGGGGTAAATTTCAATAAAACATCTGCCCCCACATCGGAGTATTCCTGACAGCCTGGAGCTGGGCTGTCAGTCTTGCTGCTCATGACTTCCCAGGCCGTGGGGAAAAGGTGGCAAGTCTGAGGGTGCCAGGAGGCTGTGGGAGCCTGGGTGTGGGTGCTGGGAGGCAAGGGCAGCTTGTTGTCTCTCCCTTCCTCCTCTCCTGGTCCCTTTGGGCCCGGGAGGCTTATGAGGGTTCAAATGAAGGGGGCCCACGTGGCTGGCAGTGCAAGACTCTGCATCCTGCTATTTGCTACCTGTGCCTCCCACCCTTTGACTAAGCCAGCCTGGTGTGGGCGCTGTGGCTCCATCCAACCCTCTGAGAGTCCTGCTCCCCCCTCAGAAGCCACCCCTGCCTCTGCTCTGACCATCCTCCTTTCTAGGCTGTCCTGTGTCCTGGCTCTGGGTTTTGGTGTCTCAACCTCTCCCTCTCTCTGTCTCTCTGTCTCTGTCCCTGTCTGTGTCTCTTCTCCCTGCTGCTACTGGTTCCAGTTGACATTAAGGTCATCAAAGACCTACCTTGGCCTCCGCCGGTGGGACAGCTGGACAGCAGCCCCTCCCTGCCTGACGGGGACAGGGACATCTCCGGTCCAGCCTCACCCCTCCCCGAGCCCAGCCTGGAGGACAGCAGCGGTGGGTCTTGTGGGAGCTTCTGGCCAGGGTGACATGTCCTCTCACGCCTCAGGCCCTGTCAGCTTGGGTTGGAGGAGCTGAAGTGGGGCAGGGTTTGGAGAACCCAGGAAGAATCCCCCTCGTCCTGGAGGGAAGAGAGAAGGGACAAAGCACACATTCCTCCTTCCTCCCAAAGTTGTGGGGAAGGTGTCTTCTAAAGGAGTCCCTTTCCAAATATCTTTCCTACCATGCCACAAAAATCCACTATTTTAAATTCACTTCTTTGCACAGGATTTTGCCTGCCCCAATCCTTTGGCAATGCAAATAACTCTTGAGGTGGGGGTGATGCTAGCATAGGAAGTGTCTGACTCCTTCGAGTAAGGGAAGGGTCTGATCCTTGCATCTGGTGACTGAGAGACAATAAGGTCCTGAAAGTGCTCCAAGGAGAGAAAAAGCCCAGATGAGAAAGGAAGCACTGAACGCTTCATCTCTGTTCAGTTTTGTACAGAATGTTTGTACATTTGGGCCTGCGTGTGAGGGGTATTTTGTAAATACAGGATGAAGGAGGGTCTCCGTCGCCTGCCCGTGTGTGCCTGCGCTTATGTAGACCACTGGCTTCCTCCCTGCCCTGTGCTGGCTCAGTGGTCAGGCCTGCCCTGGTCTGGGAGGGCAGAGCCGCCTCAGCCGGGTTCCTCGGGGTGGGGGCAGGGAGCCTGTGGGCAGCAACCCTGGGGCGGGGGAGGGGCGGGCCGGCTGGCGGCTTTGGGCAGGATCAGCCTGTCAGGATGGCACCAAGGGGAATCGGATAATTGTTCTCAAATCGATAAGTCATTTCTACAGAATGGCTTGGCAGGGTGATATGGAGAACGGTAATGAACTCTGAGGAGGAGAAAGAAACAATATTATCAGCGCTGAAGCCACCCCGAGGGGGAATGGCATAGGGGAAGGCAGGCCGCTGCTCCAGAGGGAGAAGTTTAAGTGGTTTCTCATGTTGCTCCTCTCCCCTCTCCTCCCACAGCGTGGAGACTGGTAGGCACAGTGTGGCATGGGAGGGCTGAGCCCCACCCCCCAACGAGGGAGTGGGCCCAGGATTCTGTCCCCTGAGCCAGTCAAGCCCAGGGGCATGTCCCACACTTCCAGAACATTCCTTTGACCCCTTCTGGCAGAAAATGGGGGTGGAGCACCAGTTATTCTACAGGGCTCTATCTCTAAGGTCCTCAGAGTCTATGACTGGTGTATTCCCCACAGCCCAGTTTGAAGGATCTGAGAAGAGCTGCCTGTCACCCGGCCGGGAGGAGAAGGGGCGGCTACCTCCCCGACTCTCTGCAGGGAACCCCAAGTCAGCCAAGCCCCTAAGCATGGAGCCCAGCAGCCCCCTTGGGGAGTGGACAGACCCAGCACTGCCTCTGGAAAACCAGGTGTGAGTGTCTGTGTCCAGCTGGGGACTCTCTCCCCTCCTCCCTTCCCCTCCTGCCACTGGCTTGCCTACAGGGGACACCCAGAATGGGTGGGCCAGGACGGCGAGGGACCCAGCAGAGATGCCCCCCTTCCTCTCTCTTGTCCTCAGCTGGTACCATGGGGCCATCAGTCGAACAGATGCCGAGAACCTGCTCCGACTGTGCAAAGAGGCCAGCTACCTGGTGCGCAACAGTGAGACCAGCAAGAATGATTTCTCTCTGTCCCTCAAGTGAGTAGGGGTGGGCCAACTACCAGCGTTAGGCAGGATTAGCTTGTCACCATGGCACCAAGGAGAATCCATGGGAAGACAACCAGCAGGACAGGAGGAGACTCCAACATTCTCCCCGTGCCCAGCCAAGCTGGGGAGAACTCCATCCCCATGAACATTTGCTGACTCTGGGCCAGGTCCTGGGGATTTGGAGCGGTCTGAGGCTCAGCCTCAGATCGCAAGGAGCTCAGAGTCCATTAGAGGAAACGGTCAAGCTACAGTGTCCATCTCAGAAAGTTTCTGTCACTTACTAGCTATGTGGCCTGGGGCCCCCTTAACCTCTCTGGGCCTCAGTTTTCTTACTTATAAAATGGGGGAATAATAATATCTACCTTATAGGGAAGGATCAAATGAAATAATATATGGGAGGCACTTAACATGGTGCTAAGTGCTAAATAAATTATCACCGTCATCTTTATTAATGGAAGTCCAAATGTTCTTTAAGCACAGGCAAAGAGATGGGAACTTTGCCTGCAGAGGCTGGGTCCCGGGGGGAGGGTGGAGCAGTGGACACGAAGCTGTTGTTCACTCTGAAGAAAGAAGTGGGCAGGAGGTCTGGGTACTAGTGGCTGATAACTGCATTTTAAAGGATCCAGGAAGAGGAGGGGGAGGCAGGACCCTCCCTTCCCATCAGCTTTCCTTCTAGGGGGCAGATATACACAGAACGAGCACTGGCCTCCGAGGCCATCCTGGTAGAATGGCCAGCCCTCCCCTTGGTACCCAGGAGTTCTGCCTGGTAGAGCCTGAACCCCACATGGCAGCCTGTCAGATTGTGTGTCCATTCACATCCCCCCATCACTACTGGGACATCTGTACTACCTCCTACCACATTTCCCAGGGATATTAGAATACAGGTATATCCCCACTTCAAACAAATGCAATATACAGAAATTTGGGACTATTAAACAGATACATTTGAGGATAATTATTCAACTTCAACTAAAAGATAATGGGAAGATGCCAGTCTATAGTCAAATAACTTGAATTTTATTCTTGGGCTTAATAAAACTAGCTATGTGACCCTAGGCAAATCATGTAACCTCTCTGGCCTTGGTTTCTCCCATTGCAAAATGCATTGATGGGTACCTCTTAGGTTTCTTGCAGCTCCCATACTCTGCAAATTATCATAAAATCAAAGGAGCATTTAGGAAAAGTTCATCTGTCAAAAATCTGATATAACACTAGGATGTGTATTGCTTTAATAGTTAAGAGTCATAGAGCATCTACTATGTGCCAAGCAGCGTATATACCCTCTCCAAACCAACTACCAACCTGCAAGATGAATCTCTTTTTTATAGCCAGAAAGAAATACAAAGAGGTATGTGACTTGCTCAAGGCCACCAGGTAGTAAAGTGCCAAAAGCAGGATTTGGACCCAGCTCAGTTCAGTCTGACTACAAGAACAGCACTATTCCATTGCATAGCTCCACCCGTCCTCAAGTCTGGAACAGTCCAAGGCTGGGTTAGATAGCAAGGGTCTGGCTCCCTAAACCGAGCAGGGCAGGGCTCCGCCTTAGCCTGGGGAGTAAGAGGGGAGGCAGGCCTGAATGCTGCTTCAGCCCTGGCTGATCTGGCCCCACCAGCATCTGTCTGCCAGAGCCTCGTTTGCATATAAATGGCTTCTCTGAAATACAATTATGGTTTCTCTGTTCTCTGTAATGGAAGGGCTTTCACTGGTAATTAAACAGCTTCCTCCCAAAGCCATGTCAGCTCTGGCCCTGCGGCCCAGCTAGTCCCACCCAGGCTCCTGAGGGTTGGGCAAGGACTCGGCTTGGGACTTTATCCCGGGAGGTCAGTTATCCAGATGGAGGCTTGTTGCCACTTTATTGCCCTTTTTGGCCAAATCTGTCCCTCAAGGAGAAGATATAATGCAGTTTTGGGGAGAGGTGATTATCCCAAGTGGACTGTGGGTAGGGGTTGTCCCCAAACTGTGAGAGGGTGAGGGAAAGCAAGGGCCAAGTTGCTGCCCACAGCTTTGGGCCTGGGCCATGGCATAGGGCAGACGGGGGGGGGGGCGCGGGGGAGAGACTGCTCACTGCCTCCCTTCTCTCCCGCCCCCAGGGACTGCACATTTTCCTCGGGCCCGTAGCTCCCTTCCCCAGGGCCTGTGTGGTCACTGTCAGCCTCAGCTGTTATCTCAGGCCTCCAGAAGAAGGATGCCCGTGCCCCCCCGCCCTGCCATACACACATACACCCAGCCTGGGGCCCCCAGCAGGCTTTAGGGCACTGGATCCTGGCGCAGGGAGAAGAACTTGGGAGGGTGGGTGATAAAGGACTGTTTTTTCCTGTCATCCCTTTCCTCTCTTCAGTCATCCACTCTCCATCTCCACTTGTGGGCCCAGTGAAATGGGTCCAGTCAGAGCCTTCTTTGTACCCAGGCAGGGGAGGGAAATAAGGTTTGCCAGCCTCACCTCTTTTGAGGGCCCCCCTCACCAGTCCTACCTCCTATACTAGTTTCTGAGCCCTGCACTTGTCTCCAAGTAGGCTCTGGCCTGGAGAGAAGTATTCAGGCTTCAGGGCTCCCCCATGCACTGCTTCCTCCTTGCCTGTGGACCGGGCCTGTGGTAGCTTGGGCAGGTGCTGTTCTTGCTCTGGCCCCACCCCCATGCTTTCTCTCTAAGACAGGGTGCTGGGGCAGCTGGGAGCTAGCCAGAGCTCTGAGCAGCAGGGTCCTTGTCTGTGGGCAGGGCTGGGCACTAATGTCAATTTCCTGGATTGTGTCAGGGAGCTGGGAGAGGCAGTGGAGCCTTTCCTCTCTGAGGGAGGGAATGGAGTTATAGCCTCATCGATGATGTCATCCCGGGCTGAAGGGATAGAGGAGCTGGGGGCTTGGCCCAAGGCCCAGTTAGCAGGAGGGTAAAGGGATATCCCTGGGACAAGGCAGTGGAGCCTTCCCGATTTGGGAGGGACTTCCAGAGCAGCTAGCTAGCTCGCCCCCTCCCCTGGTTTCTGCAAGAGAGAGCCTCAACCAAGATTCACTTGGTTGTCACATCTGTCCACACACTGTCCTGCCAAGGATGTTTGTGTCTCCACATCAGTCACTAGGAGCCCCCCACAGGTGTCGTCCCCCACAGCTCAGAGATGGGGAGGGTAGACCAGCCTTGGCCATACAGGCTGGAGGGCGCTGGTGCCTGGGTCCCAGAGTTTGGGGCAGGGAGAGTGGTCGCTCCAGTTTCCACCTGCACACGCCCTGTACACTCATTACATACACATTCTTGGCACGCCTAGTGCCCTCACCACAAAGCCAAAGCCTACTGTTACCCATTCACAAAATCCCCTCTGCCTCCTCCCTGTTTTCTGGACTGACCTCCACCTTCCCTCCTCACCTCCACAACAGCTGGCTCGGAACAACCACATTTGCTGCAGGGGGGGGGAGGGGAGGGCGACCGGAGAGACCCCCTACTCACCAGGGTCTCCTCTCCTCTCCCCAGGAGCAGTCAGGGCTTCATGCACATGAAGCTGTCCCGGACCAAGGAACACAAGTACGTGCTGGGCCAGAACAGCCCACCCTTCAGCAGCGTCCCTGAAATCGTGCACCACTACGCCAGCCGCAAGCTGCCCATTAAGGGGGCCGAGCACATGTCCCTGCTCTACCCCGTGGCCATTCGGACTCTGTAGATGGGTGGCCCGGGCACTGTGACAAATCTGGACCCAGCCCTGTGCCCCTCCCCTGGCTGAGGGCTGTGGCCCCTCCCAGGGACCTGTTCTGTCAAACCTTTCTTCCCCTTCCCTGAGATCGAGTGGAAGCTGGAGATTCCTTAATTTATTCTAAACGGGAAGGCCTACTGGGGCCTCGGAGTAAAAGGTGGTCTGGAGCCGAGGACAGAGGAATCCCTGGGGAGAAAGGATAGCCCCTGGAGGAAGGGGGCTTCAGAGCCGCTGGTCTCCAGAGGAGTTTGAGATCCGCAGCTCCCCGCCTTTTCCGCCCCTAGGGCACAGGTGGCGACCCCCTTCCCCACCGGCTCCTTCCCCCTGGGTCAGTGCGGGGTGGGGCAGGACGCGGGCCTGCGGGGCGCCCTGGCCGCCTCCACCCCTAAAGCGCCAGCGGGCTCCGTCCAGAGTCCGGTGCGGGGCTTTGGGAAGGCAGACCCCTGCCCCCCCAGGATGGAGCTGGCCGTGGGGGTGGGGAAACGAGGGGAAGGGCTCGGGTCAGAGGGAACTTGCGCAGTCCCCGGGCCGCTCCGGCTCCCGGCCAGATGCAATAAATAAACCCAGTCCTGCCAGGCACTGCCGCGCCTCCAGCGCCGCCCCCCGGGCTGTCGGGGGAGGGAGAGGCGAAGCGAGCGCAGATTCTGTTTATAAATCAGTTCTGGAGCAGACACAAGCCGGCTGTGAAAAGCACTTTCGAAGCATCAAGTTCCTTCCCTTGACGAGATGTCAAAACATCCCCTGCCGCCCCCGCCCCGGCTGGGGGCACCCGGAGCCGACCGGCCGCGTGGCGCCCCCTCCCCGCCGCGCCGAGGAGCGCGGCTCCCCAAGAGCGCGTCCAATTTCCTGCCAACAGCCGTTCGTCTGGGAGGAGGGGAGCCGCGGAGAGACAAAGAGACAGCGCGCCAGGCGAGGGGGAGCGGGCGGCCCTGCCACGCGGAAGCCGCGCGCCCGCGGAGGCGGGAAAGCTGGCGCGGCCGACTGCGTCTTCTTTCCGGAGGAAGCGGGGCCTGCCGCGCCTCCCCCATTCTCCGACCGTGAGTCCGGCCCCTGGAGACTTGCAGCCCGCAGGTCTGGGCTCGGAACTCCCTTGGGGCTGGGCCTTCGGGCTGGCAGCCGAGCGTGGCGGGGCGGTCCGCGCGTGCCCCCTGCTGGCCGTGCCTCTAACCGCGGGTCGCGGGCGCCGGGCCACACCAGACCCCGGCCCTGGAGACGCCCCAGCCTGCGCCCACAGCTGGACCCGGCCGAGGCCTGTGGGGCCAGCCCCCGGAAATACCCACCGGGCCGCCTGTCGGAGCTGCTGTCGACCCACTCCAGGCCCGCCCTCCTGCTCCCACGGGGCTCCCCGAGGGGCCGAACAAACATCCGCTGGCCTGGGAGCGCAGTCTGGGGGCCTCCTTACAGAACCTAAACCTGCATCACCCAAATGTAGTGTCAATCATGGAATTTTGAATTTTCTAATCCCTTGGCTATTTTATCGAAATCGAGGACATGTGACCTGACAAATGTAAGAATTCTGTGGGGACAATCGAAAGTCTCACTTGAAATTGGGCCCTGCTTTAGAAATTCCCTCAGAGGGTTGCCCTGTATCTTGGAGGGTATTGAGTCACCTTGCAGATGAGGAAACAGGCTCTGAGTGTTTAGGTGATGTGCTCATCCGTCTCCTTGCTTTCATCTCTTTACCTGGAAGACCCATGTAGGCACAGGTGATCAACTCCTGTTGCCCAGAGGTCCTGGAGCCAGGCCAGGCAAACACTGGCTCCCTGTGGGCTCCTGCTCTGTCTTGCCACACACACCTGCACTTTGTGCCTGGCCCACCTTCTCCAGAACCCCTTTCTCTCTCCCTTCCCTTCCTGATCAGGCTTCAAAAACCCCACACTAGCCACCCTGAGAAGCCCTCGGTCAGGAAGCGTGCCCCTGAGCTGTGAAAGGGGTCTCCAGCTGAAGCACTCGGCCCTGAGCTGGTTCCTTTATTCAATAGATGCTGGGAAGTTCAGAGGACTGTCTGCACCAGCCTCGGTGAGCTGGCTGGTTGAGTAGCTTTCTCTGCCAGTGCCTATCCCCATCCCAGGGCAGAATAAAGAAACCCAGAGTGCAGAAAAGTGGTTTATTTGTAAAGAAGACTACTGTAGTAGGAAGAAGAGACAAGGCCTGAGGAGCACCACACAGATATTGGGCCAGATTCTGACTACAGGACATGTTTAAAAACTGGGAAGAAAAAATCAGTTGTGCTGTTAGACTAGGATGCTGAGGGGGTTCCTGTAGACTTCTCTCTGAGGGCCCCAGCCTCTACCCCCACCCCAAGGCATTTGCCAGCCCTTTTGACAGTAGGGAGCCTAGAGGAGGGGGAGGTTGTGGGGGGGAAGTTCCAAGATGCCAGCATCTGTGCTCCCACTTTGTCCGTAGGCTCTCAGCCCCCTAATACACATACACACAGCTCTTTAGCTCCAGTCTTTTGAGGCTTTTTCTTAGTTTGGAAGAAGAGGTGTCACTTTGCCCCAAAGTAATAATAGCTCTCCTACCTCCCAACCTCTGTTGCCCAGACAGGGCCTCCCACTTCTCCAGGCTGAGACATTCTGGACTTGGGGGTCTATGAACCCATGTGGGGTGACTGACCATGACCACCTGGGCCAAGGTTGGGAGGCAGGAATGAGGAGGAGGCAGAAGGAGTCAGAAATAGGAAGTACAGAGCGTGGTGGGGGCCCAAACCTCTGCTCAGCTGGGCAGTGGGAAGAGCCCCTGGGCAGGAGGCCTAGAAGTTCTCATAATGGTGGGAGAAGTGAGTCTGATCCTGCTTGTTGATGAGCTGACAGGCCTTTTCCACATTCTTGGTCATGCCAGGCGGGCCACAGCTAAACACCCCAATCTTCCGGACCTGTTGGGGGAGGGAAACGTGAAGGCTAGCTCGGTGTTCGTGTTAAAGACAGGCAAGAGTCCTTGGTGAGGACTCCTTCTATGTTTCTGATAAAGGTGTGCTTCACACCATGTGTGGTGAGGTATGGCTCAGTGTGTTTACATCAGCTCAGTTTTGGTAGACTTGCTCTGTGTGGGTCCAACCTCCACCCCCTCCAAGGCATCTGTCAGCTTCAGGTACATGATCAGTGTTTCTGATAGGGGCTGGGTTAATCAATGTTCCAGTTAAAGGCTAGCTTACTGTCTCTTTGAGGGCTAGGCCATTATTTATGAGAGTAGTGGCTAGCCCAGTGTTCATGGTAAAGGTCAGTGTCTAGGGTGAGGACTGGCTCAGTATTCATGGTAAGAGTAGCTCTTGAGTTTATGGTAAGGACGAGCTCAATCACTGTTCCTTCTGGACAGGCATCATGGCTTTAGAAGTGGCAAGTCCCTGTGGCTGCTTCCCCCCTTCACTCCTCAGAGTGACCCCTACTGTTTTTCTATTCCATTATCCCCACTTATCTCCTGGGTGATGAGTTCTCCTCAGCAGTCAATTCCTTCCCTCATGGAGCTGGGTTGGGAGGTTTGCTCAGACCTCAGGTGATAAATGCCAGGAGAACCTTGATACGGGGTGGGACTGACCTGCGGGTGGACCTCCTGCAGGGACTTGAAGAAGGGCTCGAAGGGGGGGCGGCCAAAGTGGGTGATGGAGCGCAGGCCCGTGAACAGACTCCGGTTCAGCACCTTCTGGAAGTGCCGCTCACAGATGTACTAGGAGAGGAAGTAGAGGAGGAGGGTCACAACCAAGCAGAGCCAGGGTCAGTTCTTAGTCTAGATGGTGACCCACCTAGCCGCCCCGGCCGGCCGGCCCTGACCTACCAGCATGGTGGTCCTGAGGTCAAACTTCTCAGCCAGCTGGGTGATGTAGATGTGCACGGACACCAGGTCCTGGCGGTCATTCTCCTCCACCTCCCGGATGATGTCAGCCAGCCACTCAAACTGCCGCTGCGTTCGCGTCACCCAGATGAAGTAGATCTGGGGACACACGGCGGGGAGCTCAGGACCTGGCTCAGCTCAGGCCCCCTATATCCCAGGGATCCCCACAGCAATAGACCTTGGTCAGCTGTGCCTCTCCCCAGACACCCTGCGGAGATGGAGTGCTGCGGGGACCACAGGGCCAGGCTCTGGGGCGGGAGATGGGGGTTACCCCAGAGCATGGAGAGGCAGAAGGGAGTGATAACCTGAGGTGATGAAAAAGGACACTTGTCAAGTGAGCTGAAGGTCTGATGGGGTGGGAAGCAGCTTTTTCACATGGAGCCTGCCCTGCCGCTCGCTCCAATGGGCCCTCCTCAGGCTGCTAGGCTCCCAAGCAACCCTAGCCCAGAGGGATAGGGTTCCACTAAGGGGCACGTCACAGAACAGCCTTAGGGAAGACCCCGCTGGCTGCCTGGAGCGGATGGGAATGGGCTCCAGAGGACGGAAGTTGCCACAGAGGGAGCCACCTCCAACTTCCAAAGAGGATGAAGCAGGGGCCATGTGGGTTAAGAAGCAGAGGCAGAGTTGGCACGGATGGAGGAGCAGAGGAGCTGCCTGGCACCCTCCGAAAGCTGACAGCACATGGGCTGGGCCTCTGCCGCTGCATTCCTGTGCCCCTGACTCACCTGCCAGGCCCAGGGAGACAAGCAGGGGCCTGCTACCAGGTCCACGCTGGGGTGAAGGGACCCGGGATGGAGGGGGCCTGAGGGCCTGGGCTGTGTTCCTGGAACCAGCCCAGCCCACCAGCCCTGCCTGGCCACCTCCCCTCTTCTTCCTCTTGAAAGCAGAGCCAGTTTCACTTCTGCCCCACCCCAAGTGTTCCTTTCCTTCTCCCAAGCTGATAGTGCTCCCTTCAGGGGCTGGCCTCCTCTGTAAGACAGAGTGGGTTTCTTTACCCCTCTCCAACTCTGTTCTTTAGGGTCTGAGGATATCTTGACCCCTCTGGGGTCAGGCCAACTGGGCCTTGCCCGGATCAGGCCAAGAACAGAGGCAGGAGAGACAGGCAGAGATGGACACAGTGATAGGGAACAGGGGCCATGGGTCAGCAGGAGGAGAGGGCACTCACCTTCTTACAGAACACTTGGCAGCTGACTGATGACTTGAAGACCAGGTCTTTGAGGATGGAGGCAAAGGGGGTGACCCCAATGCCCCCTCCCACCAGCACTGACACCTCAAACTTATGCCATTCCTGGTGGCCCTCTCCAAATGGTCCATCAAGGTAGAGCTGCAAGAGGAGGAGTGGGTTTGAGTTAAGCTCCACCACCACAATAGTTCTGAAGCTAGAAATGGGAGGCAGGGAAAGGCAGGTATGTTTATGGAGTGAGGAGAAAGGGGGTACCATGGCATTACTTGGAAAGACCAGTCTCTAAATTGGGAGAGGGGAGGAACACAGTGGGGAGCCTGGGGATGCAGGGCCAAGGCCTGCTAAGGGGATGTGGGGGCGGGTAGCCCATCTGGCCTGGGTCTGGTCACCTTCGGGTATTTGGCACAGCCATCTCCCGTTGGAGGTGAATAGATCTCCCTGAGCCGAGTGGTCCAGGGGCCTGCTGCCCGGATGTGCAGGCTGAGCGTGTCCTCATGGGGTGCAGAAGTCAGTGTGAATGGGTGGTACTCAGTGGTTCCCAGAGCCAAGCAGGCGATCCGCACCCACTGTCCTGACTTGTACTCAAAGCCTTGGGGCCGCTGAAACTGCAGGTGGGTGACTCCTGAGGAAAGGAAGTGGGCAGGAGGCTGCTATCCAGGACCCAGCAGCACTGTGGCCTCCAGAAAGTTCCCCCACCTGCAGCCTCAGCTCTCCTTCTGGAATATGCCAAGGCCTCTACCCATCAGAAGGCATTACTCCCCTTGGGCCATGTCCACCCTGAGGAGGGGCAATGCAGCACTGGTGCTGGTGGTCAGCAGGGAAAGGAGCAGCCTGGCCCAGGCTCCTCCTCTCTGTTGTGAGAGAGGCTCAGGTCCCCTGGCCAAGAGCTTCTCTTGCCAGCTCCCTTATCGCTGCCACCTCAAGGCCCCTGCCAACTCCACTGGGCCAGGCCAGGGGATTGCAAGGTCCAGGATCTGGCATTGCCCTGTGGGCTTTCTCAGAACTACCCAGCTGGCCCCCGACAGCCTAGAGGCTGGTACCTGAAGGCAGCAGCTCCGCCTTCACCACGCTGATCTCCACTTTCTTCCGGCTCAGGCTCACCAACTTGTCTCCCACATAGATTAGTGCCGGGACCAGGAAGAAGATGTGGAAACGGGGCAGCTGGATCAGGCCGAAGCTGCCGTGGATGATGAGCTGGATAGAGTGAAGAATTCGGCTCTGACCAAGCCATACCCACAATAATGTCTGTGGCCGGCTCAGGCCTTAGCCCCTTGCATCCTCCACACACCCCACCCCACCCCACCCCACCCCACCCCCACAGGCACCCTCCATCCCCACCTATCCGTGTACCATACTCCCTCCAGGTGCCCAAATCTAACCAGTCCCAACCCCAACCCCATCCTATGGAGCACCCATGACCAGTGAGACTATTTGTGCCTTCCCGGCACCATCTAAACCAGCCACATTGACTCTCACCTGGTCTCCTGCAGTAGCTTCCTAGCTGGTCTTCTACGGGGTTGCCCACTGTGACCCATTCTTTTCAAGGCAGCCAGTGTGACTTTTTAAAGTTCGTTTTATCATGCCATCCCAGCTTAACACGTCTTAGTGGACTTCCCATTACACCACAAGGCCTTGAGATGCTCTGGCCTCTAACGTGGCAAGTCCTCTCTGCTTTAGGACCTTGGCACCTGCTGTTCCCTCTCCCAGGAAAGCCCTCTCCCTGGTTCTTTCCCTGGCTACCTCTGTCTCATTTTTTAAAAAATTTATTTATTTGAGAGAGAGAGAGCAAGAGCATGAGTGGTGTTGGGGGAGGAACAGAGGGAGAGGGAGAAGCAGGCTCCCCGCTGAGCAGGGAGCGTGACGAGGGGCTCGATCCCAGGACCCTGAGATCATGACCTGAGCCGAAAGCAGATGCTTAACCGCCTGAGCCACCCAGGTGTACCCCTCTATGTCATTTGTCAGGGCTCAGCAGAAACGCCACCTCCTCAGGCCTTCCCTCGGTCCTCTGTTATATCTCCCAGTTAACTCCCGTCAGAGCACTTGTCATCATCCACACTAACGTTCCATCATTCATTTACGTGTTTCTGTTGTTTTCCCCGGTGGAGGGTGGGTGTCCATTTTTTTTGCTACCATACTCTCAGCTCTTAGCAGTTACTGCCTGCCACCATACCAGGTACTTAAAAACTGTTGAGTTAATAAAAGAAGTTTCCCCAATTTATCCTCTCCCTTTGGAGACTAAGAACACCTAACTAGTCCTCCCTTTTCCTTGAAATACCTGACAGGTATTGTCTAGCTCTGGTCGTTTCCCCAACAGGCTGGTCTGACACGGTCAGACACGACTTGCCCCCATGCTTCCCATTCGCTTGCTCCTAAGTCTGGTCAGTCTGGCTCCTGTTTCTACCTCTTCTCAGGACCTGCTCGCTGGGGGCTCACCCGCCCCCTGAGTGGCTAGACCCCCAGGTCCCCTTTCATTTGCTCCCACAGCTAGCCCTCTGTGGCACCAGCAACCGCCCACTCCTGGCCATGTCTGCTGCTTCTCTCGGGCCACTCACTGTCCATCTCCTCCACTGGCTCTGTTCCTTCTCCCAGCCCTGATCCTTCATGTTGCCCAAACCTGATTTTCTCACTCTCTGCTCTCCTCTGTCTATGCTGCCCCATGTGGCACGGCCCCTCTGCTGAGCCACAGCCCTCAGTGGCCACCGCAGCCCACACAGGTCCTGCCACCACCTAATGCCCTGGGGCCATCCACGGCCTGTCCCCTCTGAGCCCTGAATCACTATTTCCACCTCCGTACCAGTGCTCATGCCCTTTCTTCTACCTGGAATGCTTTTCAGATTCCACTCTGCCTTGTCAAATCTTAGCTTACCTCTCCTTAAGGCTTGGCTCCAGTCCCATCTTCTCCCCAAAGTCTTCCCTAACCAGTTTGGCCCAAATGAAACTCCCTTCAGTGAGCTACTATAACTCACTGTTTGGAACACTCAGCTCAGCAGTTAATCCTATACTGTCTGCTCATTCTGATCATTTCAAGTTAATGGCACTTATCTCTGCAGCAAATCCTAAGTTCCTGAGGGCAGAGCTTTGAGTACCCCCCCCCCCCGCTCCACCGCCCCTCCACTGAACAAGTGCGTACTAGACCCTTTGACAGATAACTGTTAAACTGAACTCTGGCTCCTCATTCAGCTCTCCTTTTCCCCAGCTTAGTGTTCCTTTGCCCACAGGACTAACTTAAACCTCTCTGGGCTCTTCCCTGAACTGGCTCCGGTTTCCCCAAGTTCCTCTTTCATTATGGAGCCCACACCCACCGCCAAGGCTTCCTGAGCATCAAACCAGGCTGAGAACAATGTCGGGGTGACCTCATACTGCTCTGTTTATACATCCCATTTGGTGTTGGCTCTACTTTTAAACCACAAAGCTACTGCAGATTCATGGTTGGCTGAGGACTGGGGGAGCTAGCCCTGCCCTCTTCTGCTTGGATCAGGAGCCTGGACATCCTTCTGCAGGGTTGACTCCACACTGGGGTCCTTTACTTGTAGCTTCTCTTTCTGCCCCAAGTCAAGTGGCCACACCAGGGATAAATGGGAAGGAAGTGGGTGTTTCAGCCCTGATATCCCCCCAGGTGAGACTCTCCTAGCGGCCAGGGCTAGGACTGCCCAGCAGAGGGTCCTGCACCTTTCTGAGCTGCTGACTTCCCTGCTGGCAGGAAGGGTGGCTCTGAACCCCACTGATCCCCAAAACCCAGGAATAAGTCAGAAAGGGGTCTTGGTCTCAGGGAGCCAGTCTGGCCACTCTTCTGGGTCTCCCATCGAGTTAAAAGAAGCTGCTTTTTCACCAGGAACATCATCTCCAGCCCCTAACAGAAACAGTAACCCAGGATGCTAGGGCTCCACCCTAGCAAGGGTGGGTAGGGAGGGATAAATTAGCCACAGCTTCCAAAGAAGGCAGAGATTTCTTTGGAAACAAACATCAGTTCTAGGAAACGACCTAAGCCAAGGCTGGGTAGTCATCTTCAGAACCGTGAAGTGCTGAGCCTCGGGCAATAGGGAAACAGACTCTCTGATCAGTGAGGATAGAACTGCACCTGGGAGGAGGCAGGGCAGCCCCGGGGTGCCAGCCTGACCCAGGCCATGATGGACTGTCTCCCTCTGTCTCAGGACTCTGTGCAGTTCTGCCTGGAGCCAGGTGACAGATGGCAACCATCTGGGCTCTGCGCTTCTGAATGCTGGCAGCCAAGCTATCATTGGTGGGGACGCTGGGGCCTTGGGACTTAGTTTAGCTTCTCAGCAGGCCCTCAGGTGCTCTTTAGGGAACTGCCTGTGTCCGTGAGGAAGGCAGGCCAAGCAGAGCCAAGACACAGGCCCAGATCGGAGTCAGCTCTGGATCTAATTAGCTGACGCAGCTGATGGCAAACTCAGGGAAGGGAAAGGGAAAGGACAAGAGAAGGGAGGGAATGTGAAGGAAGGGAGGCAGGAGCCCGGGTTAAGAGAAGGAAAGGGAACAGGTAGTCTTAAAAATCCATCTTATCAACAGTCCAAGTGAAGACATTTTGAGCAAGCTCGTTAACTCTACAAGTGGCATTTCGCTGGGTAGGGTGCTGACACCCCAGAAAACAGGATCAGAACAAACGTGGCAGAACCAAATTAAGATATGTTTCTCTCAAAAAAAGGGTGATGCTCCTGTGAAGGTGGGCAGTCCACCCAGGAGCTCACACCAGCCACCAGAACTGGGGAATGACTGGCTGGGCAGAAACAATGTGGGGGTATCTGCAAGGAATGAGACCAGCCTGGTAGGGTTGTCACTGCCAGACCCATGCCAGGGCATCCATCTCCCAGGCACTGCATCCCGGGGTCCGTCTGCTTGACAGCCCCCCACTATACTCTCCAGCTTTGAAGTGAGAAGTGGAGGGGATTCCTGAAATGCCTAAAGGGGATGGAGAACTGATGTCTCAGCCCTCATGGCCTCCCTGGGATCATCCTGCCAAGACCCCAGTAGCCCTCACCAGCACATAGAGCAGGATGTAGAGGTGGTGGGTCAGCCAGAAGCCCCGGAAGCTGTGGCGCCGGAAGTGGTGGGAGGCAAAGACATACATGATGGCCAGGACCAGGAGCAGCAGGACCCCCGTGAGGCCTGCAAAATGAACATGGGTTGAAGGGCAGAGGAGCGGGGCTGTTCTGAGGCTGCCATGGGTCAGGGTCCCCGTCCCACTTCATTGCTCCAGGTGGGGGCCGTGGAAGCCCAGGCTCCTCCTCTGTTCTCGCACACCACTGATCATAGGTGCCTTTATTTCAACAGACTCTGCTCACCCCTCCAAGGCCTTGTCCCGATTGTTATTTTTCAAGTACCGGTATCATTTGTTTTGTCTGTCACTTCCCTGACTCTCAGGCCCACAAGAACAGGGACCAGGCTGCTGCTGGTTCAGCACAGAATCCTAGCGCCTCCTGGGGGCCTCATATAAACGTGTACTGACTGAATGAACGCACGGGGCATCTACTTTGGGCCCTCTGGGTCAGACTTTGGACATTGCAGGCCCCGCCCCCATGGAGTCAAGACTCAGTCTATGATCCCGTAGCCCCGACGTGGCTACCACAGCATGAGCTGGGGCCATTAGTGAGCAAGCGCAACTACCTGAGCCCCCTGGGTTCAGCCCAGTGTTGGTGAGAGGGCCCTCCTCTTACAGGGGATCCCAGACCCGGGGTACACAAGAGAGCAATACTAGATTCAGGACGGGAGTGTGGGGCCAGAGAATGGCCCCTCAAGCAATCAAGGAGGAGCGAGGCAGAAATTACGAAGATTCGAGCGCTGCAGTATGGAAAAGCAGAGGTGAAGAAGGGATCTAACCAAAGCCTGTAAAGGCCTGAGCAGAGAGGAGGGCATAATCACAGCCTTATCCACTAAATCCCAGTGTGCAGGAATTAGCAAGCACTCTGAAGTTCAAAGCAGATTGTTTTAGGATTAAAAAAAAAAAATGCTGTGTTTCACAGAGAGGAGTGTAGAAAATGTGTTACCCCAAGGAGGAAACAGACTGAAAATATAAATAGGTTCAAGAAGCTTTTGAATAGATTCACAGCTAATAGTTCTAAAATGGGTGATTATGGAGAGTTAGGAATTTGTCCCTAAACAGCTCTTGTCAAGACAGACTACAAGAGGTGGGGGGCTCTGCCTAGTTGGACAAACCAGGTCCCTCCACCATGCAGCTGGGGCACAGCTATTCCTCAAAGCCACTGTCATGGTAGGTGTGTATGTTGGGGTGGGGGGAGAGGGGGTCCACTCCCATTCCACAGAAGGAGGATGTTCAGAGTTGGGGCAGGAGCCCAACCAAGCTTCCAAGAGAATGACTGGAGAGCTGAAGCTCCTACTGCCCAGGGGAGTCCTCAGGACCAGAGGGCAGAGCCTGGCCCACCATGAGAGCTGAGTGAGTGCTAGTGGGCTTGCCTCATGGCAGATCGAACCCAGAGCCCAGAGCTCAGAGCCAGACCCAGAAATTTAGAGCAGGGAGGGCTCTCACCTGGCACAGTCTGGAAGAACCACCAGTAATACTTCTGGGGAAACTCAGACCTGTGGAGAAGGAAAAGCAAGGAAGGATGCTGAGAGATGTCTGGGACTTCCAGAAAGAATCCTCCAGAGGAAATACCCCAACCCAGCCACCAGTCTCCCTTTCTGCCCAGTTGGGCACAGGGCTCTGGCTGGTCATTGTCTGTCCTATAGCCTGGAAGGTGATTCTCCTCTGAGCCAAGAGAATTTCCCCCCACCTTGACACACACACACACACACACACACACACAGTGTTGCCCACTCACTCACCCATCGTCATGGAAGAGTCCAGGGAAGAGGCAGGAGAGGACGCTGAGTGGGCTGATGGAGAACAGGTACACATTCACCACATGGCCCGCACTGTGCAAGACTAAGGAAGACCAGACAGGGTGGGAGTGAGCCAGGGGGCAGCCTGGTGGGGGTGTTCAACCCATTTAGCCCAAGTTGGAGGATTCCAGCCACCCAGCCTTGGGGGCCTGAAGGACCCTAGGGGCCTGCACTTCTGATCGCTAATCATCTTCCTGTCCCTCCCTGTCCCCGCCGTGCCCCCATATATACCATCGATGAGCACAGTCACAGGAGTCTGAAATTATACCATTAGAAGTTCATTCTTCGGGTTTCTCTCACAGATAATGTTTTACAACACAAAAGCTGGGAGAGATTGCACATGATGTGGCCTCGTTCTGGGGTGTGGGTAACTTGTCAGCTGGAGGCTGGTGAGGTGGCCCTGAAAGCATGGGAGGGGACCCGGGGGGCGGGGGGTTGCTCCTGGGCTCACTCCACACCACTGCAGGGCCAGCTCCATCCTTCTGAGAAGGACATCTAGGGCTTACGCTGAAGCACAAAAGAGAGGAGGGGCAGGCAGCAGGGAGTAGGAGGATGTGGACAGAACCCCTGGGGCTCCGGGGCCTTGCCTGTGAGGACGATGGCCGTGGAGGCAATGAGCCGATGGAAGTCCACGGCGGCATCGAAGGGCACGTAGCGGTTGAGGAAGGTCTCTCGCAGGAAGGTGATGAGGTTGCGGCACATGGTGAGCAGGATGTAGGAGAACATGAAAGAGATGCTGGCGGCCGTGCCCCGGGACAGGATGATGCCCACACGGGTGGTGTCCGTGATGCCCGTGTGGTGAGCCCCGAAGGCGTAGTCTGTTGGGGAGCCCAGGCGGATAGGAGGGGAGCAGTGCGGAGGAGAGAGTGCCGCTGAGAGGCACCACCCCTCACACAGGCCCCCCGCCCCCCCCCGCCGCAGCCTCCGTTCAAGCAGGCCCCTTGCACCCACAGGAGCCCCGACCCCAGAGCTGCCCACACTCACAGTAGGCCCGCTCCAGGAAGAGGCCCCCGGTGATGGCGTAGAACACGGCCACGCAGCCGATGTGGCGGCGGTAATTCTCGATGAAGCGCTTGAACTGCTGCAAGGTCTGGTGGCGCCGGCCCCGTTGAAACTTCTCCCGGTGAGCCTCCGTGAACAGCAGCGGCTGGAATGATGTTACCCTGGGGGACAGGAAGCCTGGGCTCTGGCTATGCACCCTTGCATAGGGACAGCCTCGCAAGTGCTCACTTGGTCAGTTCGTCCCCGGGGATGCTCTCCCTCCAGCCCAGTTCCCACTCACACTCAGACAGCCCTCTCCCCTCCCAGTCTGCAGCTCCGTGTTCTTACCCTGCTCCATTCTCACCCTTTACTGGAAGCTCAGAAGACACCCCTTCCAGGAAGCCTGCCTTGACTTCCCAGGCAGAGGTGAGCACTTCCTTGAGCTCTGAAGCCCTTTGCTCTGAGCACTATTGCAACGTTCATCAGTGGGACACTGTAATTATCAATGTGCCAGACCATCTTGTCAGACTGTGATCTTCCTGGGCATGAACTACACATCCTGCCTGCACCCCTGCATGCTAAAGGGATGGATGAACTGCCTGGGCTTAAGGAGAAGAGCAGGCGTACTTCTTGCCAAACCTCCGTCGAGTCTCCTGGGGAGGGTCTGTGTCCATGGGGCACTGCAGTCTCTGTGCTGCCCACTCCACACCAGCATTGCTGTGGGGACAGCGAGCACTCAGTCTGGGGGAGGGACTAGGACCAGGATGAGAGAGATGGGATTTTGGCCACCTGAGCCACTCGAGCCTCTGCTGCCCCTGGTCTGTCCTCAGACCGATTCTGTCGAGGAAGGGTCAGAGCCCTCAGGCAGGGGACAGCAGGATTCCCACTGAGGCCTAGAGAGAGAATGAGTTAGATGCTGGGGATACACATACAGCTGAGCCCTTCACAAGGGCATCTGACCCTGGCAGCAGGCTCTCTGCTCTTCCTGGTGCCCGGCTGGGTCTGCCTAGAGCAAGGAGCCCTTTCTTCTAATTTGCATGAAGCCCCTACGTAGGCTGGTAGAGCCGCTGATCCCAGGCCTTCTGGGGAGAGAAAAGGCAACGCCCCCACCCCAGCCCTCCCTCCAACATTCCCCGAGGAGGACTCACCAGATCTTTTCCTGGCTGATGTAGGAGGCTCTCCGGCAGAGGTCCTTGATGACTTCCGGCACCTCCACTCCTGTAACACAGAGCAACAGCTCAGGGCCCAGAGCCCAGGAAGACCGGGCACTCACCCCATGCCCATACTGTAGAGGGTCCTTGGCCAGTACCCTTGGCTTTGGGTGTCCCAGCCTCAGCCTGTGCCACCAGTGGGAGCCAGACCCAGCCATGAGTGGGCAGGGAGAAGGCCTGAAACAAAGCTGGCCTGGCAGTGTCCCCTGGATGCGTGTCCACCTTCAGCTCCACTCCCGGGACTGGTATCAGGCTTATGGGGTAGAGTTCAGGAACTGTGTGCAACCTGCCCGCTGAGACCATCCTGCCACAAAAACCCTGCTAAACCCTTCAGCTTAAAACCTCCTGGGAATTAAATGTAGCTCTAGGTGGTGCATATATGGAGATCACCAAAAAATTCTTGCCACCTTCCTGTGTTTAAAAAATGTTCATAATAAAATGTTGTGGGGAAAATACTCTGCCATGAGCCACCCATTCCTCTCTGTCTGGGTTGAGCACTGAGGGGCAGGGCAGGACTGAGCTGCAAAGCCATGTTCTCACAGGAGGCCTGAGAATCTCCAAGTCACTTCCAAGTGCTAAACCAGTCTTGAAGATTACCCTGGTCTACAGCCCAGAGGGCAAAAGTGATTAAGCTGAATTTCATGAAATCAGAATGTTTACAACAAAGTACAGATATTTATCCCTCAAATTTTAGCAAACAGCAAGTGTGGCAAAATGGTAACAAAAGGCAAATCTAGGTGAAAAGGGTAAAGGGATGCTCCTTGTGCTATTCTTGTAACTTTTCTGTAGGTATATTTAAAATGTTTCATAGTAAAATCTGAAGGAAACAACAAGGCACAACAACAATTAAAAACAAAACAAAATAGGGCTCAATGCTACCCTTCTACATAATCCTCACTCCCCCAGCCTGGTCTTCCACCCCAGGGGCTGGATGGATGTTCCTGGGACTCTGGCCTGGGCTTACCTCCAGGCACCTGCCCCTGCTCTGCCCTCAGGCCCAGGTGCCTACTGCCCTCATTGCCTGGGAAAAGTGAGAGGCTGAATAATCAGGAGTGCTGGGTCTGCACTCCACCAGCTCTCCTCCAGCCCTGGGCTGTGTGAGCTCTGTCCTGCCCAACTCACCCCTCTCCCCCATCTGGGCTGCTCAGCTCCCCTGGGAGGGGCTGGGTTTGGTCTCAATATGCCCCAGTGAGAAACTGTGAAGGTACCATAACAGCTCAGAGTAGGCCACAGAGAGTCCTGCTACCTGCCCCTTCCTCACCCTGGCTCTAGCCCCCACCCACCTGAGTCAGACACAGGTGGGACAGGAAGTAGGGGGAAGGACAACAGAAGTGGGTCTCTCCATGCACTCAAGCAAACATTAACTGAGCACTCAGCCAAGGGATATAAAGGCAAACAACCCCCCCACCCCCCTACCCCCCTGCCACCAGACACCCTAGCTCAGGCAAATATGGCCTGGTTAGGGCTGTAACAAGGAGACACTGTTTGCCTGGACCTGGACACCCGGCACAGGGGCCTTTGACAGAGAGCTGGGAGAAGCAGAATTCTATCTGCTGTCCCACACCCCATCCTGACCCTGCCCACCCTGGGAGCAAAGCTGCATTAGGACTTTTGTGGGCCCTAGGCACTGTCACCTTCCTAAACCACTTCCGCCCTTAAAAAAAAAAAAGTATATACATATATTTATAAAAGATAAATATTTTTTACAACTGTGTCGGTATATTAAAGGATATAATCCAGGCTGGATATATTATCACCTATTCATTATTATTATATTCATTCATTCTTCTGATTTTAAAAGAGATTAAAACATTTCTGTAGGCTCCTAAAAGTAGGTGGGCCCGATGCACTGTGCCTGCTGTGTCTAATGGTTATGTCAGTCAGCCCCAAGGCCAGGCCGCCCCACCTTTGACGCAGAGCTGCGTGAATCGGAGCTCGCTGTCATGGTCCCGCAGCATGAAGTGGAAGTCCTCCCACGTCAGCTCCTCCTTATCCTGGAAGCCAGACTCCCGGAACATGGACTCCACCACCTCTGTTAGCTGGGCCTTGGACAGGCAGTTGTTGGAGATCTCGATGAAGGACCTGGGGTCGGGGGAGGGAAGCCATCAGGCCCTGAAAAGAAGCCTGAGGCCTAGACAGGAGGGCCTACTGGCCATCCCACCAGGCCTTCAGAGTCCACATGGAAGGGCCCCAACTGGCCAAATCCCGAGCCCCCTCCTAGTTATAATAGTCTTCGGCTATATGGCCCCAGCTCTTTACCCTCCTGCTCCCACCTTCATGCCCCTTCTTCTTTCCACCAGCAGTCCCTGTCCTGGCCCACTCTCTGGCCATGCCACAGGACCAACCTCAGCATCCTGATGAACTCGTCCTTGGAAATGAGACCATTCCCATCAAAGTCATACATGCGGAACATAAGGCGAGACTTCTCCTCAGGAGAGCCTGGGAGGAGGAGGACCCCGTGAGAGCCCCAACCTACCTGCCTAAACCCCAGGCTGGCCAGAAGGGGCCTCACATGAGTGTGACCCACTGCTGAACACAACAAGAGGTCATTGTGCTTCCTGAGCTCTACCTGGGTGCTCCCAAATGTCTGCCGTGGCTGGAGACCTGATCTGGCACCTCCCCATCTCCAATGGGTCAGCTACCCTTCAGCTTCAGTCTCTAGCCCCTTCCATCTTCTCCTACCTGGACAATCACTCCCTTCTCCCCTACCTTTCATGAAGACCACCAGGATGTCCAGAAACTCCCGGAAGGACAGGTAGCCATTGCCATCTTTGTCAGCCAGGGAGAACATGGACTCCACAAACATGTCCTGGGGCTTGAGGCCCAGGGACTCGGCAAACTCAGCTCTGCTCAGCTCACAAGTCAGGGCCTCCCGTACCTTCTGTGATGAGTCCAGGGGCAGGGTCCCTGCATCTGCCTGGTCGATGTCCAGCACCTGCACTCGGGCAACAGCAGAGGGAGACAAGGTTTCCTTGATTTGAAGTCTGGCTGAGGCTTGTAGGAGCCACATTTTCCAGGTTTCTGCCCAGCACCCTGTCTCCTGAGCATCTACCCCGTGCCCAGCAGGTAGTCCCTCGGGCCATTTCTTCTACCCTGGCCCTCTGTGTTAGCTCATTGGACCAGACATGCACACTTGACCCAAGCAGACGATCTGGAATTGGGACTAAGAGGTCCCAGGTCTGTCTTGACCTGAGCACAAGAAAACTCAAAAGTGGTGGACCACCATGTTCTTCCAAGTGCTCAGGGACACACACAGAGGGAAGTAAACACACAGAGAAAACGAGGCAGGCCAAGAGAGAGAAGCGAGTGACCTTGTTTGCTGGCAACTCTCCCTTTCCTCGCCCCTTCCAGGCCCGGTCACAGTCCTCCCTTTGGAATTCCTGAGACATCACCATAGCCTCAGAGTCAACTGACCCTTTGTCAGTGCTAGCTTGCTCTTACACCCAAAGGTGTTTTGATTGAGAAAAAGCCTCAGCTGAGTTGAGAAAAAGCTGTGCTTGGGAAAGGGGAATTCTCATGGTGGGCTATCTTCAGGCCACCCAGGGGCTGCCCCAGCATCAGAACAGGCGGTGAGGGAAGCAGGCAGGCCTCAGGCCACAGCACCTATTTCTCCTGCCTGTCAGCCGGGGGCCCCCAGTCCCAACCTGGCTGTGGTTTCACAAGGCAAACCTTGTTGCTTCAAACAAGGAGCTTTAGTGGAAAGAGCCTGGGGCTGGAGGCAAAAGACTGGGTTCCTGTCCCAGCTCTGCCACCCACTTGCTGTGTGACTTCAGGCAAGTCTCTCCAGTTGTCTGGCATTCATTTTTTCTTACATGCCTTACTTATCTCACAGGGCTACTGTGAGAATCAACAAGGGACGTTGTATGGAAAACATCTTGAAACCTGGAAGTACTGTGCAGACAGAGAGGGTTGGCAGCTATCCCCCAGACACAGTAACACACCCTCACACCCCCCGCACAAGGAGTCCCCATAGCTCTGATGGGTCCCGAACTGAGTAGATGTGCCCCAGCCCTACTTGGGCCCTGACAATGAGTCTCCCCGCCTGGGGGTCCCTCCATTCTAGTGCATACTCAAGTTCAACAGGCTTGGGGAGTAAATGACAAAAGCCATGTGCCTGGCACATCGTAAATGACCATTAAATGGTCGCTTCCCTCACGAATCCTCTCCCAGGCCAGCCAACCCTGCTCCTTCTCTTCAAACATTAATTTTTTTGGCCTTCTACTGGGCACCTCTGCTCAGTACCCCCTGCTCCCTTCCTCTGAGCCAAAAATTTTTCACCTCTTTTTTTTTTTTTTTTTAAGGATTTTATTTATTTGAGAGAAAGAGAGAGAGAATGAGAGAGAGAAAGCACGAGAGGGAAGAGGGTCAGAGGGAGAAGCAGACTCCCTGCTGAGCAGGAAGCCCGATGTGGGACTCGATCCCGGGACTCCAGGATCATGACCTGAGTCGAAGGCAGTCGCTTAACCAACTGAGCCACCCAGGCGTCCTTCACCTCTTTTTAAGTCCTCGCCAAATCTGACCCGAACCATGAGCGTCCACCACCTTTTCTGAACTCCTGCACTGCTTAGCTCCCGGCTCAGTTTTGTAGCCATTATTCTGAAGTGCTGGTTATCTTCCTTCCTGTGTCTGTTCTTTTTTCCCAGAGGGATGACGAACTCTTTGAGTGGGGCCTAGGCTGGATGGATCTTATCTCTTACCAAGTGTCTCCTCTCCACCCTTTTGGACCCAGGAGGCTTTATTTATGTGCCAGATATGGATGCAAGTCCTTGCATTTCTCTTCCTGGCTTGTTTCCCCACACCCTCTCAGTAGTTCATGGAAGTCTGCAAGGTGGGCACCAGTGCCCCATGGAGGCCTCTGGCAGATGCACTCCACCAAGGATGGGGGACCAAGGGTCCTCGCTGCCCCCACACTGACCCTGGGTTTCTGCAGGCTTTTGGCCAGGATGAGGTAAGTGAGGGCAGAAAAGCTGGACAGCCCTGAGGAGCACGCTGAGCGACACAGGCAGATGAGCTCCTGACGTGGCCTCCCTGGAGTCCCACAGGTAGGCGCTGTGGAGCATCTCCTTACAGAAAGGCCAGGTGGTTGGGCCCAAAACGCCGCAGACCTGATTAGTAGTGTCAGGGCTCCTGACTTCCCTGGAGTCACCCCGCGGCCGCCCTCAGGTAAGGGCACCGCCATAGGCGGACATGCAGGGACAGACCTGAGCCTAGCTACACACCTGGGAGAAAAGGTGCCTGAAAAAGGTCTCCAGGAGGTGGCTCCTCTGCTCTCGCGTCACAGCTGCCCTCATCAGCTCCTGCTCCTGCAGCTCCCACTCCTGGAACCTCAGCCCGCTCTCCTTCAGGGCCCCCCGAAGGTTTTCCACCAGCACCTGCCGTTCTGCCTCCAGGTTAAATAGCAGCACCTACAGAGTGGCGACAGGGAGAGCAACCATTTGTCAAGGCCCCCTGGGGGTCTTTGCGTGGGTTTTGTCAGGGGCCACTGGGTTTGAGTGCCCTTGTAAAAGGGATTTACTGTTATGTCCTGGGCTCGATGGGGTTCTGGGCTCGATTATAGGCACAGAGACTGCATTCAGAGACACATGTCTGCAGCCATCCTTCCCTCTCTGTTCACACTGGAGAAGAGAAGGGAAGGTGGGGAGGACAGATGACGGAGGGGACCGGGAGCCAGACAGAGCTGAAAATCAGCCTCTGGTTGAGTTCCCCTCCAAAATCTCTTAACAATTCACTAGATCCTAAAATCAGGGGTCAGGGAAGAGGGCCTGGCTTCTTCCAAGAACTCCCAGCTAGGACCCACCAAAGCATCCTTAGATAGGGGGGAGGAAGACTAAGCAGGAAGAAGGCACTGTGGAGATCATGTCACCCTACAGGCCCAGAGCAGGATGAATGTGTTCACGTTTCTATATCAGGTACTACAGCTGGGAACTAGAAGCCAGAAACCCTGTCTGATTCAGTGCTCCTTCCCCTCCACCTGGCTGCCTCCCTGGCTATGGACCAGGAATAGGACCAGCTGGGCCATACCAGGTCATACTCCTTGGGGATCTTGAGCAGGAGGGCGCGGCGTCCGTGGTTGCCGGACAGGATGAGGTTGACCTGCTGCGGGGGCCGCAGCTGGATGGTACGGAGCACAGAGAGCCTGCCGTCCACCACGCAGATCTGCCCAGGCTGCAGGTGCACCAGCACAGGCCGGGAGGGCTCCTTGTGGCCCTGCCATTCCAATGCTGGAGAGACAGGGCTGGGTCAGCTGGGGCCAGGACAAAGGAGGCTAGCTTAGGGCTGGAGTTAGGTCAGGGCCTCCGTAGTTCCTGGCCCCTTCTTGAGTACTGAGGGTCGTCCGCTCCCCAATAGTCCTGCTGTGCCTCTAGCCCACGTGAAGAATAATTACCATTTCCTGAGTGTTTACTGTGTGCCCAATACTGTACTAAGTACTTGGCATGAACTAGTTAATATTATCTTCATAAACTTTCATGAGGTAAGTGCTATTATTATTCCTGTTTTACAGATAAAAAAATAGGTTTAGAGAGATTAAAAAAATCTGACTAAGGCCCAAAAGCTCAAGTGGTGGAATCAAGATTCCAATCCTCCATCAGTGTGACTCTGGACCTTCATTAATTACTTCTCTGTTGCCTGAAATTCCAGTGTAAGATGCCACAAAGCATCTGTTGCCGAGGATTCTAGAGAGTCGTGGTAAGCCTATGAAATGTAGTCAAGGCCCTGTGACTCCTCCCCATGAGTCTATCACATCCCCTTTATGTGGGACCACGGGGAGGATCTATGGTGGGTGGAGGACTCCAGGTCCAATTTCCACCTGATGCCTCCATGGCTCTTCCCACCTGCCCTGACCTGCTTGGAGGCCTAGAACAGTGAGGCCTTTTCCTTAGGCTGCTGAGGTGGGAGCGGTCTGCAGCCCTGAGTCATGTCCTCCCCTGCAGCACCCTGGCCAGCTCCAGGCCTACCTTCCATGCCCCCCACAAGCTTCTCAGACATGATGCTCTGGCGGTTCTGGCCCTGGAGCCTCTTGAAATTCCTCCTTCGGAGCCGGGCAACAATCCAGGCACTAAGCAGGCTCACTGAGAGGGCAGAGGCAGGAGGATGCTCAGAGGAATGGTAGGAGTCTGAGGAGATCAGTGGCCCCTTTCCTTGGCAAGGCCCCCTGCTCTCCCCACCTCCTAGGTTGGCTCATTCATTGTCTCAAACTGTGAAGCTCCCCGGTGGGGAGTGGGGTAGGGGTGGGGAAGGAGCTTTGGGTAAGATGCCAACACAGCCTCTGCTGCTTCCACCACTCAGTTCCCTTCCCAGCCAGAGACTAAGGCCAGAGTCCTTGTGCCAGAGACTGGACCCACTCTGCCATGCAGCTAGTGGACTCACACATAGCCATGCCAAACTCTAAGTCTCAAGCTAGTTCTCAACTGGTTCTCAAGCAGGGTTTGCCTTGGACAGTTTCCCAGGCCCAGGCTCCTGCAAATAACTGTGAAATACAGATTCCTTGTGGCTTCTGACCAACCTAGGCCCTGGAGGGACCCCAGGAGAACAGGAAGGCAAATTTCGCTGGAGCTGACTTATCTGCAGGTCAGACACTTCTCATGTCCCCTCCTGCTCTGATGTTTTCGTCATGTGCCCAAAGAAACAGTACTCTGCGTGGTCAGTTGTTAGAGATGAAACCACCCCACTGCCACCCCTTAGCTTATGCATTCAACCCAACACCACCCTGCCCATCACTTTTACCCAGAGGGAAGCAGCAGAGAGTCCCGATTGTGACCCCAAAGCCAAATCCACTGCCTTCAAAATAGTCCCACATGATGGAGGGACCACAGGCTGGCAGGCCCTCAGTGCTGAGTTGTCTTGGCTGCGGGCAGGGGTCTCCTGGGGAGGCAGAGGAAGCTAGAGTCCTGGGGCGTGCTGGGCCAGAGGCTCTGGCACAGAATCACCGAGGAGGTCAGAGTGGCAGAGAGGGTAGAGTAGGGGGGCCTCTGGGTAGCAGAGGGGTGAGAGCTGCTTACCCCTGTCAGTATACCAAAAATGTGGTGTTTGCCTAGTGGGGTAACAAGTGGGGTCAAAAATGAACCTCAGCCCTCTCTCTCCCTCACACGCACATATGTACACACACACACACACACACACACAGCCCTTCCCTTGTCACTGCTGTGGGATTAGGATATCCTCACTGCACTGGACCTTCCTGATACCACACCCACCCCAGGCTCAGCCCAGCTGATGGGAGCCTTCCTCCCTAGGTCTCTCTGAGTCTCAGTCTTGCCCCCACTTGGGTACCCTCTGAAGTTGTGCAGAAGGGGACCTATACAGCCACATGTGGCCACCTTGGTGCCCAGAACCAAAGTTCTCAAGGGCAGAAACATGGCTCACTGCCTCCTTGGAGTCTACTGCCCAACCGCACCTGAACCAGGCCCACGGATGAGGGGGGATGAGACACCAGATCCCAGGCCCCTCCAAGCATCCCCTGGTCACTCACCCATATGCCAGAAGAAGACATTGGGCTGCAGGGCACTGGGGTTCATGTTGGTGACAGCCACTAGAACATCCCGTAGGGAAGTGTTTCTGATCTCTGCAATTTCTTCCTCAGAGAACAGCCTGGGGGTGGGAGAGGTGGTGAGCTACTGCATTGGGAGAGAGATGCCTGCTCTGGCCCAGGAACCCAGATGAGGAAAGAAACCCAGAGGGGCTGAGGAGTGTGGGAGGCCGGCTGGGAATCAAGGGCCCATGGGGCTGCTGACATTACTTGCAGAGGGCCTGGGGCCCAGGCCAAGGTGAAGTCTGAGGAAGGGACCCAGGCAGGCCTTACCCATTCCTGGTGTTCTCAAACCAGTAGCGGTCGCCATCCCGCAGCCTCACAAACTGGTTAAGGACGATGGTGCTGAAGAGGGGCCCGGGGTCCCCATGGCTCTCCAGGAGCCCCCCGGGGAGCAGCTCCA